CGCATTATTTTCCACATACTGTACATTATTGTTTCTCCTCTATGCCCCGCCTTTCTGAAACACTTAGATTTTTGCAAAACTCATCGTTCTGAAAAGCGAGGTGTGCTGTGATTGGCCAGTTATCCAGTGTGTTGTGATTGGCCGAATACCTCAAGCGTGAGACGGAAATGTTACGCCCCTCACCATACTGTGTTTCCATCATACAGTCTATGGTTTCCATGTGTCCGGCGCGACGAGACAAAACCAATAAAACCCATTACAAACGAGGCATTTGTTGCATCCAGTGGGGACATAATTACGAATTATAATGACTTATACTGTCTTTTTACACTTTTCGTTGCGTATTGTGCCGCGTAAACATAAAACTATGTCTGCATTTGTGATCGGAGCTCATTCGTGATTTTTCTTTCCTACAGGATGTCCTGCTTTTTTAAAAAGCCCCAGCCACCAGACCTCAATATTATGAGTTATTATATTTAGCCCTCAAATTCCCATTTTCATCCAGCCATTAACTCTGAGTGCTGCTTATATCCTCTTCCCTCGCCACTGTCAAAACATCAATGGAAAATACTTTTTGTGACTTCATATATTTTCATTTGAGGGACAAAGCAAGCTTTTTGCACTGAAATCCTCTTCCACCATTATGATCCACTCAATTTCCTGGATCAAAAGGGAACTAATGGATTTTTAAATGCCAGATGAGGCCTAAAATGTACTGCCGATTCAGCTGACCTCTCTGGAGAGAGAATGGGGGGTAAAGCTTTTGGCCCAGAATGAAATGAGTCACTCAGCAAGTGACTGAAGTGTCGTGAACAACCACCTGGACCAAAGAGTGGGATTTTATTCAGCCAGCAGGTGTCCACAAACATTGTTGACTACTTAAAGTATGACTACTTAATGAGAGCAATTCTTCTGCAAAGCAATATACTGTAGTTCACTCAAAAATGAAACTCACTCTCATGTTGTTGCAAACCTCTCAGACTGGGGGACAATAAAAGCCCCCTTCTGAAAAAGAAGTGTGCTTAATTGTATTGAAAGTGTACTACAAATAATCAAAGTGTATTAAAAAACTAAAATAATACTACCAGATAATATAATATTAATGTAATAAGCACACTTAAAAAAGAGATACTTTCATGACTGTTTATTGCACACTTAAGTATACAGTAAGTGCTCTTTGTAATAATGTCAATTTAAAAATTTTACTTTAAAGTACATTTTAAATCATTGTTTTAATAGTATTTTGTTATGCTTTAAAGAAGTACACGTATTTTGTTTGTATTTAGTGCATGTAAATACTATAATTACATACTATAAAATAATGACAATATAAAATA